AATTATTAAATTAGATTCAAATGATGTTTTAATGTAAACAATAATTTTTAAATCATGTCCCAACCCGTAACATCTTATGACGACGTGATTAGAGTTGTTTGACAACTCTTTGATCGTGAATGGCTCGTGTTCGGCTTGCTAAGCAAACAATTCGAACACGAACACACTTTTTTAGCTCAAGCTCGCTCGTGTTCGGCTCATTTACACCCCTAGGGAGATGTCTAGGGCTGTATTCTTATATTATTTAAACTTGGGGTGTTAAAAGTAAGTAAAATAAAAGATATTGGATATAATATGAAAACATTAACATTAATTGCTTGATAAAAACTTTGTTTTTTTTTTTGGGTTAAATTGGGCGCAATTTCCGAAATGAAAAAAAAGAAGAAGAGCAAAGGCATAGGAGGGAGAGGAGATGGGAAGGGAAGAATCCGGCTTCGCAGTTGGGCGTCAGTCAGAAACAGAAACAGTGGACTGAGAAAGCCATAAATTTGCCCGCAATCAAGAGTTGCGAAGCACGAGATGAGGGAGGTGGCAGCACATGCCGCTCCCTCAGGAGACCACCAGCGGCGTGGAATAAGAGGAGCTGTCATGCTTCGAATTTCGTGCATTCCTACATCCATCCATCCATCCATCCATCCATCCATCCATCCCTCCATCATCCATTATACTTACAATATGGATGATGGATGATGCACATATGGGACGATGATGGATGCCACGTCTTATCATGATGTGCCTTCTCATTCTGTCTTTTCATGCCATGATCCAAGGTACATCTCATCCTCCATCCCATTGTCCTACCATTTCAGGATTTTAGATATGTGTAGGGGCATATTTGCACAAATACCACACAATTCTTATTTATTTACGTTTACATTTTGTGACTAATGGTTTCGTTTGATGGAACGGCAAGCAAGAATTTTTAATCAAATCCTTCTAAAACTGTGGAGTGCTGAACTCCTTTTCTGAGTTGGACCCCCTCTATTCCCAAAGACTTTTTAAAAGCATATTTTTATCATAATTTAGTTGCTCTATGTATTAAGGTAAAACAATTACTATTATTATTAGAAGTGATAATGATGTGACATATCAATTATACTATAGCTGAGTATTGTCATCTTTGTTACTTATATGAGTACCTCGGCTATATTTGCACATATGGTTATATATTTTATAGTTATCTAGGATATTCTGTATGATTGTACTAGTAGGGCTTGTCCTAATAAAGACGTATATGTAAGGAGGCCTCTAGGTATTTGGGGAGTGGAGGTTATTTTACAATTTTTGATATTTAATTACATATATGTTTTTATTTTTGATGTCTCTCTCATCTTTAATTTTAGCTTTGTGCTATTAGAGCCATTTTCCACTAGAATATGGCGGAAGGAACCAAACATTCGGCTGTCAATGTCGGTTAAAGTTTGGAGTCCTCATGGATTGTCCAGTTGTCAAGCTCGTTTAGTTTTATACTAAAATGCGAAAAGAATTACAAGAGCACAGAGTCGATGCTCATAGTAACCAAAATCTCAAAATTAAGGTATCTACAACCATACCAATACCTTGTGCCAGAAATTTAAAGGATCAGAGTCGAAAGGTACTGTCACACCCTGAGTTTGGAAAAATTTGATCATACAGTAACAATCATTTCATTCTCCCTTAGGAAAATGTCATCTTAGACATTCAAAATAACTAACTTCTAAACAAATATGGATAAAACTGTCTCATATGAATATATTTTTACAAAGTGGCTTCCCTTTCTAATACGTGCTTCCATTGAAATTGAACTATATATAGGGATCTACTTGCTCTGCAATTGTCTCACATCAAAGTCTAAAATAGGTTGTGGTTCCTCACTGTAATTTGAGTTAGGCTACATCTCAATCTCATCCTAAAAACCCTATGCTTAATATCGAAAATCTATTTTCTTAAAATGGATATATGAACCATATTATGCACAACTGACATATGATCAGGTAGTAATAATCAATAAGTAGAATTACCAACTCTACCAATAACCTCAAAAGATTAAATTAATCTCAAGCTCATTGTAACCACTCTACTCACCCCTTCATGTTATCAGAGTATATTTTGACTTTTGATATGAAACAATTGAGGAGCAAGCATATCCCATATGCATTTTTTAAGGATGCATTATTTATAAGGATGGTAGAAAGTGGTGACACACGCTAATATGATGTTATGGTAAGTGTAGTCATACATTCATGGCCAAGAAAATAATTCTTCTTCACTTACACTTAATTTGATTATGTCAATATATTTTATGAATTAATACCAATATAAAACCAACTAATGACATATTTGCCATTAACTAAAGGATGTATTTATATTTCTGTTGTTGACTATAGATATATTTTTGTTCTTGCTCAATAGATATTTGTCAAATGGAGTTGTTTGTGTGTGTTAATGACTCTCACATTTGCTCAACTATTTAAGTTGATGATGTTCATCTATTAATAATCTATTAAGTTCAAGTTAGAACTCTCACTTTTGGGTTTAACATATACTCTATTAATAAAATGAAATTGCATATCATTAAACTGGGTCTAGCTCACTTAGTTGGTCCCATACAATTAAAGAAGCCTTACACTTATACTTAAATATGAAATGGGACCATCTAATTGAATGAAGAGAATAATGAATTTATTTTCTTATTCAACTTTTGCTAGGGAGTGAATTTTCACTCTTAATTAGGTGGTATTTTACCATTATACAACATTGATAACATCAATTTGCATTTAAATTATAATGTTCTTAATTTTCTGTTATAGATTTATTTTTTTCTTACAAAAATATGATAAGAAAATAGCACAAAGGAAATTATCAAGTGCATTTCATAGGCAAAGGTTTAAGTTCCCTTCACAAATTCCTTCTAATAACAATCATATCATTAATAAAATATTTTACTTGTTCAATTTCTTATAGCATTCATGAAAAAACAGTTTGGTGTTGGTATAATGTTATTTGATATTAAATTCTTGAAGGACGTGATGTTTGTAAAAATATTAATCTTTGAATTAAGAAACTGTATTGACTTTTATTGTATATTGATAGGGTTATACATATTCTCCATAATGCAAAATATATTGTTATTATAAAAAATAAAATGGTAATATGACTAGCCTTATTATTATTGAGATTTATTTTGGACAAAATATATCTCGCTCAAGGGCATTTTTGCCCTATGATTAATTGAAAAGTGCAGAATGTATTAATATTATTCATTTTGATCTTTTTTGAATGAACACATCCATAATACTATTGACAAAGATAGATCGATGGATGCCCTAAACGAGAGTAACATTAATGCATATATCATACAATCAAATTCATCATATCAATATAACCTTTAGGATTGTGTAGTGATAAATTGATCAATTAAATCATTGAATTTATATCCCAAGCATCTCATCAATAGAATCCGTTATATTTCAATAAAAAGTTTATGACCATCAAATGACTCCAAGACTTGCTAGAAGGATCTTCTCTCAATACATTATCTAAAGTCATTGACTAATTGAGCATGTATGAATTGTGATGGGATATGTTTAAAGTTTTTTGTAGTTAAAAATGAATATCATTCAGTCCATATACAAAACCATGACAATAAACATTTTCCTTATTACTCTACCCAATAATGATGTACAATGTAATTTCTGACAACATCTGGATCATAAAATCTCTCGTAATTCCAACACAATATTTGGGGTCCAGTGGCTAACTAAAGTGCAAATGCATTAATTCCTGCTAAGATTACTTAACACCCTTACTTAACACCCCTAATCAGGCCTTAATGACCACCTAAACCTTTGAATATACTGTACTGTATCACACATATAACAGGGGCTGCTGGAAAAAGCATGCATTCATGGTCTTCGTACCTCATTCCAAGCTCAATAGCCGAGATCCAGTTATTTTCTCCTAATAATCTACTAATTATTATGCTGTAATAATTATCATTAACAGATTAAAAATGATATTAATGGGAATGTGCAGGTTTAATGTGCTTTACACGTTCTCCCATGTGATCAGCATCCGGCTTCTTGGAGCTGTAATCATTGCCTTTGAATGTAAGCAGTGGATAGAGGAGAGAAGGAGAGAAGTATAGCGAGAATGACTCTGATATTTCTCTCTCCTTGTCTCCCTCTTTTATCATTTTTATATTATGATGTGATCACTGATATATTCATTCAAAAAATATTCCCTCTCCTTGGGGAATGCTAATTATATTTTAATTTTATTTTTGGAAGGGAATGTTTTGAGATTATTTTATGGAATCATTGTTTATTAGTATATTGTATAATGTGATATGATAAGAGTTCTTCATCCTAGATTCCTATTTCTAGTCAATATGTCACTCATTTAAATATAATTAAAAATCTTATGTCATAATAAAAGTATAAATCTTATCCCCTAAAATCTCATGTATAAACTTATGTCATGATAAAATTAAAATTTTAAAAATTAAAAAAAAAAAAAGTTATGTTATGGCAATTCCTAACATGCCCTTTAGTTAATAATCAGCATGAGTAAAAGCTTCCAACTCCCACATGAAAAAAACTATGTAAAGATACAGTGCTGCAGATTACATAAAAAGAATCATAGCCATAACCACCAAATGCTCTAATCAACAACCAATCAGCCCATATGATTGTAAACATATAAAAGAACTGCATTTACTTAACAAAATATAAAAAAAGTTTGAATCTTTATCATTTCTATTAATAAAAGAAAAAAAAATTGCAATCTTTTAATAATTAGATGAATGAGAGGGAGAACAGACGTAGATGCAAATGAAAGAATTAGCTTGGCCATGTGGAAAGCAGAGAGGAAAAACTCCCAAAACAACTTTTCACACATGAAATCCTCTTTTGCTGATAAGACAAAGCGCTTAGAAGTTTTGAACAATACATAGACATAGCTCTCTCTCTCTCTTTCTCTCCCTCTTCATCCAACATTAATTTCCTCTATATAAAACCCACTCCCCTTCCACTGCTTTCCCTCACTACACTCCAAGCATAACACTGAAGCAGAGCTTTCCCCTGCAATTTCGATCTTCGATTCCTCTCCACTCTTCTTCCTCCTTTCGTCTTACAACATCACAAAAAAATGATTCAAGAACTCTTATCTGCTGTTGTGGAAGAAAGGAAGCTCTCATTCTCAGCAGAAGGTCGTCTTCTACCAAATGAAGCTCCCTCTCCCTTCCTCTATTCTACTTCAATGTCCACCACATTATCCCCTTCTTCCTCTGCTTCCACCATACAACTCTCATCTTCGTCATCACCATCGACCGCCTCCGAGCCTCCTCAGCAAAAGCTAAGGTGCCCGCGGTGCGACTCATCGAACACCAAATTTTGCTACTATAACAACTACAACCTCACCCAGCCACGCCACTTCTGCAAGACTTGCCGACGTTATTGGACCAAAGGTGGAGCCCTCCGCAACGTCCCGATTGGTGGCGGGTGCCGCAAGGCAAAGCCAGCACCAATTGTAGCCGGCGGCGGTAAGTCTAGTAATGGGACCAAGACCAACAAATCAATTTCTTCGCTTGATGCTATTGCTCGAGCCGGTTTCGGTTTGGAACCCGAGCTCTTCTCTCCAAGTCCACTTCTATGGAGCGGGCCAGCCGCACCACCGCCGCCGGCCCCCCACACTTCCCACCTTCTCGCTCTTCTACGTGCCGGCGGAGCGGCCGGCTTTCGAGGCCTTGAACCAAATCCTCCTCTTAGCGGGCTTAATTCTGTTAGAATCAAAGAGGAAGCTGGAATTATGGAGCCATGGAGTCAGTTTTCAAGCACAGTTGGGATGGGATCTCTGTGGAAAAACGAAGGGCAGCTGCCATATGTACAGCTTCAGGAGAACAATTTGTCGTCATCATTCGGAGATGTGGCGGCGGCCGGGATTCAGGAGGTTTACCAAAGGCTGAAGCAGCAGGCTTACTGCAATGATCAGTTGAGCATTGCTATGAGCAATGGTTGGTCATCAGCTCCTGCAGCAATGGGTACAAGTATTGGTGGTGGAGGGGGAAGTTCTAATGCAGCTGTGGATGGAGTTGAGGTTGCCATGGGAGGTGAGTTTGGGTATTGGAATCCGGCCTTCTCATCTTGGTCTGATATGTCCAGTACAAGTTAACCTGAATCATTGATGATTCAAATTATGGTTAATTAAGATTTTGTGGGTCTTTTTTTGGCTTTGGTTTGCGTTAGTGTTGGAGTAAATTATGATTAGTTGTTTGTTGCTTTGTAGTTTGATATTCTTCTTCTTACTTATCTTTTTTTTTCTTTTTTTTTTTTTTAATTTCAACTGGTTTGTATGCTATTAAAGAGAATGTATGAAGGTGGTTAATGGATAGTAGTCAAGACATTAATATGTTTGATAAATCCAAATGAGTCTTTTATTTTGTTTCATTGATTTTATTATATATATATAATATATATATATATATATATATATTTGTGAATAAAATTATTAACATGTATAAAAATAATAATAATAAAAAGAATAGGCTAGCATATAGGTTGCTATGAACATGCCAAAAAAGGAAAAACAGATGGAATGAACACATACAATATTGTATGAGAATGATTTAGAAAAAATGGATTTGACATTGTATAGAGTTGAGGAATGCATGACAAGAACAAAGAAGAGTTAAGGATTCATATATTTTTAGAATAAGGCTAAATCAAGTTGATATATATATTCATATTGGTTACTTGGCGTGTGATAAACTCGCATGGAATGTGTTTGGTTTAGAGAAGGAAAAAAGGTAACAAGGAATTAGTGCCTTCTCTTCTTCTTATATATTGATGTACATAATGGCTTGTAAACACATGGCTTAATCATATAAAAAATAAGACATAATTGCAGCATTAAATTCATGCTTATAATATGCCACGCTTCTGTGCAGCACTGTTATGGTGCATGTAAGAGAGAGAGAGTGTGTTAGCAGGAGAAGGGAAAAAGATGAAAGGAAATGAGAGGAGTGCCGGGGGAGATTCTTGGTGTTATTGAGCAGTGGGAAAGTGCGAGAAGAGCAGCCTTTGGAAGGAGTGTTTGACAGAGATGGGAGCTTGGATTCGATTCTTCCTCCACCATTACTGCACCTTCCACTGAATGGATATAATATTGTTTTTATTTTCTTTTAATTGTATTAGAAGATTAATTTATATATCCTCAATATATATATATATATATATATGTGTACATAAATGCTATATATTTTAGGTGTATCAGTCACCTCCACTTACCAAATTTGGCAAAGAAAATATTCAGTATGATGGATTTCATAAATCCTTGGTTAATGGAATGCAGTTTCCTAGAAAATATTTGATAAATTATTAATATTAATTTGGTGTATTATAAAGTTAGAGACATTCAAAAGCATTAATTTTTGTAATATATTTTTTTTTGTAATTGTATTGAGGATTTATATGTTATGAATGAATGCTTAATTAATGTTTCTTTTAAATTGTGGGTTATTGTTGAGCACCTTGCACACATTAGAAAAAGGAAGATTGACAATATGATCGGTGTGCTGTATTATTTTAGTCTTTATTTAATGGTCGACTCTGTAAGATTAAGAGAAGACCACATTATGATTTAGCACGGGCGTATTGTTTAATATTTAATTACATATTTTAATTATTTATTAGATGTTATTGTATATTGTTTGCATATTTATGATATTTTATGTGGTCATTTTGACATGATGTAATAGTTGGGTTTACCATATTATTTATTTCGTAAATTAAAAAAAAAAAAATTAAAAGCATTTTCTTGAGTGTTGAGAAATGTCCATTGCTTACATGAATAGTTAATTATGACCATGTTTGGCTATGTTATAATTCTATGTAAGAACTTTTAGTATAATAAAAAATAGATAAATATAATGCATGCTTGTGTGTATGATGGATGCAATATTGGCAAACCCCTTCTTAAATATTGGTTAGCCGAAATGATGAATCCACAAGGTGATAGTTCTTTTCAATGATTAATCAGTGATTTATTCTTTAGATGACCTTTTTATATATAGTGGCTAACTTAAATTTATGCTTTAATGGACAAGCAATGGATATTATTGAATTTAGATTATCTGATGATCTTATTAATAGTCACAAATAACATTGAAGTCATATTTATGCGGCTTGAAATTATCTCTAAATTTTCAAATTTCACCCCCTTAAATTTCTGCAACTCCTTTAAAGCCTAGTGGGTGAGGTGAGACAAGTGTTCCAGAATAATTTGATATATTAACTCTTCTATATTTTAGAAATTATCATTTATTTTTAAAAATTATCCAAGGAATTTATCATCATGTTTATTTCATCTGTATGTTGCATAAATTTTGCGCATATTCAACTCTACAAAATGTCTAATGTATAAATTCCTAGGAAACATTCAAATATTAACCAATTAGCCATCTTTTGGGGATTAATAAGATTTGGTCAAATATATTTGTCCATGTCCCAAATAACTGAACAATTTAAGTTGATTCATCGACATGATAAAAGACAAGTAATGCCTATATGAATGTGCAAAATAAATTAAAAATAAAATATAGTAATGAAGCAAAACACTTAGTATACATCCTAAAACATACTAAATGACCTTCTTAAAGTTCCCGGTCATGAATAACTATAAAAGGCTTTAATCAAATAGAAAACAAGTACTTATTAAATTTATCTCATAAGTACATCTAAAAGGACTTATTGAAAAAGATATGTATAACAAGTAGCCTTCTAGTTTTTGGAGCTCAATGTAGCCTGATCATGTTTATAGATTGAAGAAGCAGGTGTACGGATTAAAGTAAACCCTAATGACATGCTCAATATAGTCTTAATTCAAAGAAATTTGCTATAAGAATTATTGACATGACAATGCTTATTAGAAAGTCTGAATTTTATATTCTAATTAAATAACATATTTCTTGGAGCCACAAATAGCTTTGTGTAAGAAAAAAAATTCAAATCATGAAGTTTTAGATGAGTATCATGAGAGATTTGACATTGCAGGAGCTAGCTTATGAGTCCATGGGCTATTTACGTCATCATTTGATTATTGATAAATTAACTGCTTGACTTAATAGAGCATCTAAACCTTCCATACTTTCATTATAACCATTAATGAAAGAGAAAGAGAAGAGACCAAAATTTTAGGTCAATCTTTGTTAGATTTTATCCATTTCAAAATGAAAAGTGGTTGATCTCATTTCTATGACTTCATGATAATTCAAATTTTCATTAATTACTCCATTACTGATGAAGTTTAAACATATTAAAATTATTCCTTTTTAATTTCTATTGAGATATTACTTTCCATATTTTTTTATGATGGCAATGTGAAATTAATTCTTTTTTTCTTTGGAAAAAAAATGATAAAAATACTTAATTTTACTAATCATCTTAATGGTGATAATGTGAAAAAAAAATATACTTCATTTATTAGATGATAGACATAGCTTGATTTCATTCTATAAATGAAATAACATTCCTTATTAAATTTGCATTGAAATAACAAATCTAGTGGTGTATCAATTTCATAGCCAATTCATTTGGATTTGAGAATATCAACTTCATTACTTAAGAGTATCATTAAAGACACCAAAGCAGTTGTGTGTTGTTCATTCTTTATTTTTGTGTCCTCCCCATTTTGTGGTGTTGAAAAAAGTTAGTTGATAGTTTGGTTTTGTTTAGTGATGGTTTTAATTTCTTTTGGCATATTTTTGTTTTATTTCATTTTGCCATCTTATGTTATTTGGATTATGCCTCACTTAAAAACTATATATTTAAGTCACATAAAAACCACTAAATTATTGTTTACTTGTACACTAGATGGTCATTTTAGAGTAACGAAGGATGCATTAGAGATATGAAGTTGGGTTCGCGAGGCATGTTCCTATTTGCTCGAAAAATTGACTCAAGCCAAAATAGCTCAAACCAGAACCATATATTAAATGGGTCAGAAACTTCAATCCGAACACAACTCACCTTCAACCTGTATAACTCGTTTAATATAAGGAATAATAATTATTCGGGTCAAAACTGGGTTTGCTGCTCTATTTCAAGTCAGTTTAAGATTGATGGGTTAATTTTGAGTTGGCAGGTCAACCCAGACCCGACTCAAAATTTATTGTGATTAACCCGAATGTTGATATTTTGAGTAGGTTCGGGTCGAGTTGACATGTTAAATCAATTTTTGACATCCCTATGATGCATGCCCCTATTAAATTAGTAAAGAAATAATTGCAATAAACTCCTAAATTGATAACTAAATAAATATAACTCCAGCGTATTAGGCCCTATCTCTTGATAAAATGCTTAAAAATTATCCATCACAAGAAGAATTAGGAGATCCAGAGCCCAATCGACTAAAGAGGGCTTGCGCACATCTTTGAAGAGTCTTAATACAATTGTCAGAAACATAGAGAATTAATTAAAATGAATGAAGCTCATCATTAGATGGGAGATGCATTGAAGCTTTACATTTATTCAATAGTCTGCTCTTTACATAATCTGATAAAAAAAATTTCCTCCCAACAAGCGCCTATAAAAAGGAAGAAACCAACAAATCAAAGACCAAAACATTGTGCATGATTGGTCCCATAAAACTCAATTGCAATAGGCCAGTGAGAGATTATTTATTAGAAATCTCTTTAGCAGCTAAGAGTCTAATGAGAAATTAGTTCAGCAACAAGATTATATATATATAT